TTCTGCATTCTGAACCTGGGGAGAACAGGAGTCAATGCTTGCACTGAGTGAGATGAAAATCTTCAGAATATAGGAGATCATAAAATCCTGGCTCTCCAGGAGCAGGAAGAACACTGTAGTATTCCTGTGATGAAGTAGCAAGATCTTAGGCAGCTGTCTTGTGTTCACTGTACCTCTCCAAGCAGATGGTATCAGTAGGCTGGTGTGGCTAAACAGGGAGCTTGGGGGAGCTCGAAGGCAAAAGGGCAGTATAGAGGAGATGAAGCAGGGACAGGCTACAGTGGAAGAATTTAGAAACATTGCCTGAGTATGCAGGGTTAGCCTCAGGAAATCCAAAGCTTAAATGCAGTTGAGACTTGCATGGGAAGCGTAACAAGAAGAGCTTCCACTGGTATCTTAGTATAAAAAGACTGTGCAAGGAAAACGTGGGACCATTGCTGAATAAAGGAGGTGATGTAGTGACAGCAGACAGATAAAGCTGAAGTATTCAAAGGTTTCTTTGCCTTCTTTAACCACAAGCTATCCCATTCCTCTCTGCTTAGGGCAAGGGTTCAGAGAGAACTACCAGCAGTAGCTGAGGGTTGAGTCAGGCATTACTTGAGAAAGTTTGATTGGAAAGCTCCATGGGACCAGACAGACCACATCCAAGGTGCTGAGAAAACTGGTTGATGTCTCTGCAAGGCCACTCTATCACCTTTGAAAGGTTATGGAGATCATGGAAGGTTCCTAATGACTGGAAATAAGTGAATGTTGCAGCCTTCAAAAAGGCCAAAAAGACAATCTCGGGAACTATAAACTGATCAGCATCACTTTGGTCCCCATGGAGCTTAGTGGCGCGAGTCCTCTTGGAGCACATTTCTGAGCATGTGAAGGAGGAGAAGCTGACTGGGAACAATTAACGTGTATCTGCCATGGGTAAATCATGCCTGACCAGCCTCATTGTGTTCTATGATAAAATGACTGGATTTGTGGATAAGGGGAGAGCAGTGGACGTCACTTATCTCAACTTTAGCAAGGCTTTTGACACTGTCTTCAACAACATTCTTGCATCTGAGTTAGGATGTTATAGTCTGGATGGACGGACAGCCAGATGGGTAAAAATTGGTTGGATGATTGGGCTCAGAGCAGAGTGGTTAATGGGTTGTACTCTCCCTAGAGGACAAATAAAGTGCTACAGGGGTCTGGGACCATCCAGTTTAACTTCTTTATCAGTTACCTGGAGGAGATGATGAAGTCCACTTTCATCAGGTTTGCAGATGATGCCAAATTGGAGGGAACAGAGGATACGCTGGCGGGCAGGGCAGGCTGGAGGAATGGCCCAACAGGAATCTTACGAAATTCAGCAAGGACAAATGCAAAGTTTCCTTCGTCTGGGAATGCCAAGTCCTTGCACTGATGCAGGCTGGAGCTGACTGGCTTTACTGAGAAGGCCCTGGGGAGTCCTGGCAGACAGCACGCTGCCTGTGCGTCAGGAGTGTGCCCTGGCAGCAAAGAAAGCTAACAGCATCCTGACTGTGCTAGAGGGAGCGCAGCCAGGAGCTTGAGGGAAGGGATTATCCTCCTGCTCAGCACCTGTTAGACCACATCTAGACACTGTCTTTTTGAGTCCCCCAGTACAGGAAAGGCATTAAAAAATTGGAGCCAAGTTCAGCTGAGGGCCCCCAAGATAATTGGAGCCGGAGCCGTGTGAGGAGGAGCCAAGGGAACCTGATTTGTTCAGCCTGGAGAAGAGGTGGCTTCAGGTGGATGTCATAGCAGCCTGCCAGGACCTATGAGGAGGTCTTCAAGAAGACGAAGCCAGGCTCTTCACAGTGGTGATAAGTGGGTGGACAAGAAACAGCGGGCATAAATTGAAACAAGAAAGGTTCAGACTGGGAATAATGAAAAGAAAAACATGGGAAAAACATAATATTGGGGTTGGGTAAAATGGTTTAGGTGCCGAGCTCTAACAGACCATAAATCCTGAATAGTCAGACACCATTTCCTGAGCTCCTGGCTCCATCCACTTCATGTAGAAACCTAAGGTACTTTACCCACCACAGTAAATTTTCATTGGCTAGCAGTGAAACCTGTGATATAGCCCAAATTCTTAATTATAACAAGAATATTTTTTCTGCAAAACACAGCTATAATATTTGAGTTAGTGCAGGCTCAAGCTTGTGTCCGCATGGCACGGTGCAGAGGTGTATGGACCTACCTGCCAGGTTTCCTGTGTGGGATAGCCTTTTTTATTTGGCTTGGCCTATGAGTTAGGCTTCTTGGCAAGATTTATTAACTGGGACCTAGTGCTGCAGGAATGGGCTGCACAAGCACCTGATGACACTTATGCCTGGCTAGCTTGAACATCTGTGCTCCTCTACTGTCCCTCTTCTGTAGTTAGCAAAGGGTTGGCCAATGTTACATGAATACACAGTGGGTAAAAGTTGGTTTTGTTTATTTTTTCTGTTTAAGAAAGGATGAAGCTGGTGTGGTAGGAGAGGAGGAGGATGGAGGAACTGGGCAGTTCCAGCCTTTCCATTGCAGAAACCCAGCACAAGTTCCTCACTCGCTTCCCTCAGCCATGCAGCCAGAGACTGCAACAGTCATTACATGGAGCATGCTCCAGGTCTCCTAAAAAAGACCAGAGTTTCAATTTAGACATGTATTCCCTGATTTTGTACGTGAAGGAGAGTGCCTGGTCCAATTTCAGGCAGAGCTTGATCCTGCAGTGAAGTATTGCTTCTCTTTCACCTTCTCCCAGCTCTGACTCTCATCCTAAAGAACAGGAAAATGGCCTGTTCGTGATGATTGTAGCATTAAGGACATCTCTGGATTTTGTCAGCCAGCGGTCTCCGTATGGCCAGAGGGTTCCAGAGTTTGGACCCCCAGTCTGGCAAGCATGTTTTGGTCACTTTTTAGGTCAGAAGTAAAGATGAGGTGTGGAGAAGGTATCAGCATGATTGTGCCTACCCACAGGGATGTTACTTCTGCATGACTAGTAAGAACTGACCTGTGAGTGAGGCTAGCAACCCTGGGCTTGAACTTCTAAAAGGCATTACTTTTCCTCAAGAAGTTTTGCCTTGAATTAGTCATTAATTCTTTATCATTACCCATTAATGATTCTAAAACCAAAGTGTTTAGTTTAATGAGTTTATTACTATAGATCCAAAAAGGTGTAATTCTGCTTAATTTTGGGGAATATCAATTCCCAGGAAGGGAACAATTCAGGATGAGTTATGTTGTGCTAAGTGAACCTGTTTGCCCAGATACTCTTATAGCATAGTAGGGGAGGAATCAAAAGAAATGTGGTCCCACTGCTTCATTCACAGGTCTGAATAGCTCCCTGGAGTGTGTGTAGCAACACAGATAATTTACTGCTGGTAGCAACAGCTGGTTTTCTGGAAGAACGAGTGGCAGAGAAACTGGATTTCAAGAGTGGTTCTGAGTCACAGAGTCTCCTGGGATGTTCCTGCGTTGGTCATTGCTCAGAGATGAGCTTGGAGTCAAACTAACAACCAGCTAAATGGTTTGGAGGATTTTCTTGTTGAGGGTGAGGTTGAGGAAGTATGACTGTTGTCTAGTTGCCTTTGCAGTGCTGTATGCAGCAATGGAAGGGAGACTTGGAGCTGATCCTCTGCATTACTACCTCATGGCATGTCTGGCTTTTCATATACGCAGAGGAAGACTATGTGCAACTGGTGCTCAGAGTGACCTGCAGGGTACGTTGCTGCACTGTGCCTAGTGTCTAGCATTCTCCTTAGCCTCCAGATATTGTTCCTTCATTTTTAGTGTCAAATGGGAAAGAAAATTCATAGACCTTCACTGCAGGGGCCCTGGGGTTTCTCTTGACATCTCCTGCTGTGAGGAGAGGTGAACCACAGAAGAACCACCAGAGAAGAGCTAATGAATCTGACCATCATTACTCTTTGCTGGGTATAAAACTAGCTGGATGGTTGGGCCCAAAGAGTTGTGGTAAATGGAGTTAAATCCAGTTGACGGCCGGTCACAAGTGGTGTTCCCCAGGGCTCAGTATTGGGGCCAGTCCTGTTTAATATCTTTATCAACGATCTGGATGAGGGGATCGAGTGCACCCTCAGTAAGTGTGCAGACGACACCAAGTTGAGTGCGAGCATTGATCTGCTGGAGGGTAGGAAGGCTCTAGAGAGGGATCTGGACAGGCTGGATTGATGGGTCGAGGCCAACTGTATGAGGTTGAACAAGGCTCAGTGCCGGGTCCTGCACTTGGGTCACAACAACCCCATGCAAGGCTACAGGCTTGGGGAAGAGTGGCTGGAGAGCTGCCTGGCGGAAAAGGACCTGGGGGTGTTAGTCAACAGCCGACTGAACATGAGCCAGCAGTGTGCCCAGGTAGCCAAGAAGGCCAGTAGCATCCTGGCTTGTACCAGAAATAGCGC